GTGCGTGTTGCGAGCACGTGGATTGGTGGTGGTGGTGGTGTTGTGGTGTGTGTTGTTGTTGTGTTGTGTTGGTGTGTGTTGGTGTGTGTTGGTGTGTTGGTGTGTTGCGAGCACGTGGATTGGTGGTGGTGGTGTTGTGGTGTTGTGTTGTGTTGGTGGTGTTGTGTTGGTGTGTGTTGGTGTGTTGGCGTGTTGCGAGCAAGTGGATTGGTGGTGGTGGTGTTGTTGTGTTGTTGTGTTGTGTTGGTGGTGTTGTGTTGGTGTGTGTTGGTGTGTTGGTGCGTTGCGAACGCGTGGATTGGTGGTGGTGTTGTTGTGTTGGTGTTGTTGTGTTGGTGTTGTTGTGTTGTGTTGGTGTGTGTTGGTGTGTTGCGAACACGTGGATTGGTGGTTGTGTTGTTGTGTTGGTGTTGTGTGTTGGTGTGTTGTTGGGTTGGTGTGTGTTGTGTTGGTGTGTGTTGTTGTTGTTGGGTTGGTGTGTGTTGTGTTGTTGTGTTGTGTGTGTTGGTGTGTTGTTGTTGTGTTGTGTGCGTTGTTGTGTTGTTGTGTTGGTGTGTGTTGTTGTGTGTTGTGTTGTTGTGTTTGTTGTGTGTTGTGTTGTGTGTTGGTGTTGTTGGTGTGTGTTGTTGTGTGTGTTGTGTTGTTGTGTGTTGTTGTGTTGTGTGTGTTGTTGTGTTGTGTTGGTGTGTTGTGTGTGTTGTTGTGTTGTGTTGGTGTGTGTTGGTGTTGTTGTGTGGTTGTGTTGTGTGTTGTTGTTGGTGTTGTTGTGTGTTGTTGTGTGTGTTGGTGTGTTGTGTGTTGGTGTGTTGTTGTTGTTGTGTGTTGGTGTGTTGGTGTTGTTGTGTGTTGTGTTGTAGGTACTCGCGAACAGAACTTGGCCATAATAGTATGCTCAGGCCATGGGGGGTTGTGTGTGTTGTTGTGTTGTTGTGTTGATGTGTGTGTGTTGTGTTGTGTGTTGTGTTGTTGTTGTGTGGTTGTTGTGTGTTGTGTGTTGTAGGTCCTCGCGAATAGCACTTGGCCATAATAGTGTGCTCAGACCATGGGGGTTGTGTGTGTGTTGTATGTGGTTGTTGTGTTGTGTCTTGTGTTGTAGGTCCACAACAGTGTGCTCAGGCCATGGGGGGAGGGTGTTTATGTGTGTTGTGTGTTTGTTGTGTTGTGTGTATGTTGTGTGTGTGTGTGTGTGTGTATGGTGTGTTGTGTGTGTATGGTGTGTTGTGTGTGTATGGGTGTGTATGTTGTGTGTGTGTATGGTGTGTGTGTGTGTGGGTGTGTATGTTGTGTGTGTGTTGTGTGTGTATGTATGTTGTGTGTGTGTGTGTGTATGTATGTTGTGTGTGTATGTTATGTTGTGTGTGTATGTATGTTGTGTGTGTGTGTATGTTGTGTGTGTGTGTTGTGTGTGTATGTATGTTGTGTGTATGTTATGTTGTGTGTGTTGTGTATATGTTGTGTGTGTGTTGTGTGTATGTTGTGTGTGTGTGTATGTTGTGTGTGTGTGTTGTGTGTGTATGTTGTGTGTGTATGTTGTGTGTGTATGCTGTGTGTGTGTTGTGTGTACATCGTGTGGTGGCCGGCCACAACAACACCACCACCACCACACTCCATTCCCATTACACTCCTCGAGCGCTGTGCACGTTGACAGCAGCACTTGCCCCTATCGGCCTGTGTGGGCTATACGGGGGATCTTTGCATTTGTGTGTCTCTGTGTACTTATTGCGGATGTATGTTGAACTTCTTTCGTACCCTACGTAGCCAACCGTGCTAATCTATCTGTGTGTGTGTGTGTAAGTCTGTGTGTGTATGTCTGTGTGTGTGTCTGTATGTGTGTGTCTGTATGTGTGTGTCTGTATGTGTGTGTCTGTGTGTGTGTGTGTGTACGTCTGTGTGTGTGTCTGTGTGTGTGTCTGTGTGTGTATATGTGTGTCTCTGTGTGTGTGTCTGTGTGTGTATGTGTGTGTCTGTGTGTGTGTCTGTGTGTCTGTGTGTGTGTCTGTATGTGTGTGTCTGTGTGTGTGTCTGTGTGTGTGTCTGTGTGTGTATGTGTGTGTCTCTGTGTGTGTGTCTGTGTGTGTGTGTGTAAGTCTGTGTGTTTGTGTATTGAGAATTGTGTCCGCGTCTGTGCGTTATATTTATGTGTGTACAGTATTTGTCAGCGTGTATTTGTTTATATGTGTGTATGTGTCTGTCTATGTGTGTATGTCTGTGTGTGTCTTTGTATGTCTGTGTGTGTATGTCTGTATGTGTCTGTATGTGTCTATGTGTGTGTATGTGTGTGTCTTTGTATGTCTGTGTGTGTATGTATGTGTGTGTCTGTGTGTGTGTCTGTGTGTGTGTGTAAGTCTGTGTGTTTGTGTATTGAGAATTGTGTTTCCGCGTCTGTGCATTATTTGTCTGTGTGTACAGTATTTGTCAGCGTGTATTTGTTTATATGTGTATATGTGTGTGTCTATGTGTGTATGTCTGTGTGTGTATGTGTCTGTGTGTGTCTATGTGTGTGTCTTTGTATGTATATGTGTGTCTTTGTATGTCTGTGTGTGTGTATGTGTGTGTATGTGTGTGTATGTGTGTGTCTTTGTATGACTGTGTGTATGTATTTGTGTGTATGACTGTGTGTGTATGTACGTGTGTCTGTATGTGTGTGTCTGTGTGTGTGTCTGTGTGTGTCTTTGTGTGTCTGTGTGTGTATGTCTATGTGTGTATGTACGTGTGTCTGTATGTGTGTGTCTGTGTGTGTGTCTGTGTGTGTATGTCTGTGTGTGTCTATGTGTGTGTATATGTGTGTGTGTGTGTATGTGTGTGTCTCTGTGTGCATGTTTGTGTGTGTGTCTTTGTGTGTATGTCTGTGTGTGTATGTCTGTGTATATCTGTGTGTCTGTGTGTGTGTCTCTGTGTGTGTGTGTCTGTGTGTGTGTCTCTGTGTGTGTCTGTGTCTGTATGTGTGTCTCTGTGTGTGTCTAAGTATGTGTGTGTCCCAAGTTTCGTTTTAAATCGAGCAGCATTGTTTACACGAGCAGTATTATTGTGACGATATCCCATTGCATTCCCCTGCCCGTGCACCTCCTGATCACAACAGCGAACTTTACTTTGTTTCAAGTTACTGCCCCGTGTTGTTGAATCGGAGCAATGTATTCGGTTGTAAGAGAGGTTTTGAGAAGAAGAAAAAAACATTTGGATAAATGAAAATTTTACGCGTAACGCAACGAAAAAACATATGTCACCCAACTCAAGATCATGATAACGTAACACATGTATTTTTTAAAAAGAATCTCCCCTAAATCAATACATGTTCGGACGCATTGCATGATGTAAATGTAGCATTTTGTATTTGTTTTCTGTTTAAAAAGGTTTCAATTAATGGAAACCTCTGCTGACTGATGGACACCCACGATGTACAATATATGTAGAGCTAAAATGTTGTAGGGGGAAAAAGTCTCCTGGTTTTTGAGTTCTTTCACTCAGAATTCATCACGAATAAAATTGATTGACACGTTTCTCGTGAGAATTCAGGAAGTTTGTGGGGTTTCTTTTCTTAGCTACCGTGGACGAGTTTAAGATACCTCCTTAAACTGACATCATTTTTGCAAATCAACTTGTTTTTCTCCTATTATTGCCAACAACTCTTCTTTCCTGCATGGCCATCGTAACACGCAATGTGTTACAGATTGTAACTTTCAAATTGCCATTGGTAATCTTCACCTTTCAAATGATGATGCCCCCTCTACAATTATGATGGTCTGGGTGACAGTCATCTCACGGTGACGTTTGTAGGACAGCAAGGACAAAGATCCCCCGTACAGCCTTTAACAGACTGTTGGGTCAAGTGCTGTTAGCGAGCACCTAAGAAGGCCGGAACAGCACACGAGGGGGTGGGTGGCCAGCACCACGCCCGACCGCCTTTGTCTCCCTAGTGGTGATGTTTACACACCGCACCGGGTACTCATTTGAGGCCGAGTCTACCTAGGGGATGCCCAGGAGCGGTTCAGATAATCGTCACTGGTGTTGGTCGTGAGCGGGAATCGAACTCGGGTCGCCGGGTTCATAGCGCAGTGCGCTAACCACTGCACTATCGCTCCCCACACAGACACAGACACACACAGACACACACACACAGACACACACAGATAGACACACACAGATAGACACACAGACACACACACAGACACACACACACAGATAGACACACAGACACACACACAGACAGATAGACACACAGACACACACACACAGACAGACACACACAGACAGACACACACAGACAGACACACACAGACAGACACACACAGACAGACACACAGGCACACACAGACAGACACACACAGACAGACACACACACAGACAGACACAGGCACACACAGACAGACACAAAGATAAAGATCCCCCGTATAGCCTTAACAGACTGTAGGGGCAAGTGCTGTTAGCGAGCACCTATGAAGGCCAGAACGGTACACGAGGGGGTGGGTGGCCAGCGCCACGCCCGACCGCCTTTGTCTCCCCAGTGGCGATGTTTACACACCGCACAAGGTACTCATTTAAGGCTGAGTCGACCTAGGGGAGGCCCAGGACCGGTTCAGATCATCGTCACTGGTGTTAGCCGTGAACGGGAATCGAACCCGGGTCGCCAGGTTCATAGCGCAGCGCGCTAACCGCTACACTACCGCTCCCCTTACAGACAGACACACACACAGACACACACACACGCGCGCACGTGGTGGGTTTGTAACAACATTACTGTAATAAGATGATGGTTATTTTCGCAGACACCTCGTTATATGCTTCTCTGCATTGACGAGTCTCGCAAAGCACTTTGTTATTATACCTGGAGTACAGTCTATTGTGAAATAGCAATCATGCGACTTGCACATCCAGTTTGCCATGCCAACTTGTCTTGGTTTACTCGCATAAATCCACAGGAATTCGCATGTCTAACTTACTCTTATATTTAATTCTGAAAACAATAACAGACCGGAAAATATTTTTTGTATGCATCTCTTGTA